TCGAAGACTATCAAGAATCTCATGTTCGTCTTTTCACCGATATGCTGCTTAAAAAAGTTTTGCTTAAGTTGTAGACTCCGCTTAGACCCGCCATGGCACGCTTGCCCGCTCTTCGATTCTTTTTCTTAAGCTGGGGAATCAAAATCGGCACACCCCAATTCCGTCGATCTATGCTCAAATTGGTTCCAATACAGAGTGTACACGAGCTTCGGGATATGGCCGATTACATGTGGTCCTTGTCCGAGGAGATATACGAAAGCAAAAAACAAGCATTGGCGCAAGGTGATGAAACCGTCGTACAGCAAATAGGACGCGGAAAGGATATTATGAGCATTTTGAGTATGTTGTTGCATTTGACCTTTGCTTTGTCTATTTCTAAGTCCCATCGGCCGGTAGTGAGAGGTAATCTGAATGCAGCTGAGGATAAGCTCGACGAAAAGGAAATCATTGCGCAGGTAAGTCCTTCCTTCATAGGTTCTCGCCATGACTACAATTGACCAAAAATACTGTAGATGTCGTGAGTATATTTTTGACCTATCAGAGAATCGGGGATAAACGCAATTATGCAGAACGCTTATATTCGCTGCTATGGACACTACATCGGTCAGTTTGACAATATTTGGTCCAATCTCCGCAACTGACCAACATCCTAGAATGCATTATCGCGTGTTCTGGAGCTTCTTTCCGCTCACCCCGAAGTTCAGACCAAATTACGTCAGGAGCTTGTGGATGCCCGTAACGACAATGCCGAATTGTCATATGATACCCTGGTAGCGCTCCCGTACTTGGATGCCGTCTGCAGGGAAACACTACGTCTGTAAGTTGTGCCTCTGCTGCTCTGCACGTCCGGTTTGCAAGCTGAATTCCACCCTTTTTTTCTTTTCTTTTTGAACAGTTTCCCTTCCATCCCGATGTTGAGTCGAATGTAAGTAGGATTGTTTCATTGTAGTTGCTTGATTTTTACTCTGTCTGTCTTCCCAAAAGTTCTACCCGGGATGTAGTCGTTCCTCTTTCCAAGCCTATCACCGGGGTGGATGGTCGCAAGATATCGGAATTGGCTCTCCCTAAAGACACCTTAGTCTTCATAGGATCTATAAACTCCAACCGTGACCCAGAGCTATGGGGAACAGACGCGTTTGAGTTCAAACCTGAAAGATGGTTGTCTTCTCTGCCCCAAGCAGTCGTTGACGCACATCTCCCCGGTGTATATTCTAATTTGTATGTCCAATCACCTCGATTCCCACTGATCAATTTCCAATATTAATGAGATTTCTTGCTCTAGGATGACCTTTGGTGCGGGGGTTCGTTCTTGCATGTAAGTACCACTCACTTTTATCCTAGATTTGACCTCTTTTCTGACCTTTTTCGTACAGAGGCTTTAAGTTTGCCCAATTGGAAATGAGTTCGTATCCCCTTTCTGTATTTACCAGCATAAACCTAAAGGACTGATGTATATCATCTTCACTGCAGAGGCCGTCTTAGCTGGATTGGTTTCTACTTTCAAATTCTCCCTAACCAAAGACAAGAAGATATCCTGGTTGATGGGTGGCGTTATTAGCCCGTTCGTGGAAGGTGACAGCGCACATCCCCGCCTGCCATTGATGATCAGTCTTGTAGAACAGTCAAGAAATCTTGAGGAATGAGCACTCGGTAAATAAGTACTTAATAGATTTCACTGCGCCATTGAATGTAGTGTCATTGCTTCTTTGCGAGGCGGAATTTATGAGGTCTCGTCTTTACTTAACCCCAGTCGCTTGGCTGGGCAAACTGTTGAAGGTAGAGAGTTTCTACACCTTCTTATTTAGTATTCACCTTTCCTTTCTAATCATTTCACATCCTCCGTTTGACGCAATTTCAATGGTCGCTCATTTACGAGGTCGACCGTTGAAAGGACTCGTCCGACTCGCGCTGGTGGCCGTGCAGTAGCATGTACAGTCTCCATTTAGGATGTGATAATGTGACATTAAGTAGACCAAATTACCCGGGTCGGCATTCACGGCCTCGTATTCGCCACGCCCCATTCCTTTTCATCCAAAGCAGATATGAACTCAGTGACTCTTGCTTAGTATCTTAACCTTCACTATTAAACTTATGTACTGTTGAATCGCATACATATGCCGCGGGTAAAAATTTTATGATATGCATCAACGACGATCATTGACGTGACCCACTGATAAGTTGTTCAGCTGTACCCGAGTAAAAGAGCGCCCACTTTCCGAACAATCCAGCCGATATCAGATCGAAGCCCAACGCCTCATTCACAAAACATTAATATAGCTCTGAACGACTTTGGAAAGACTTGGTAATCTTTTATATGTGTCTCGGGGATCGAAGCACCTAGTAAAGATAAGACTTGGTCATCTTCGGCCTCAACATGATCCTCTTTACATAAAATTCTTTGCGCGTGATAGGGATCGACTCCCAGTCGCGTGCGTGTCATTTGCCAGAGAACTTGTGACTCGACTCAATCTTTCATAAATTGTTTGCACAAACGAATGAAACGCAAAAAATCCAGAACCTTGACCCCCGAAAGTATTCCGAAGTTCTCTTTACCATGCCCTCGACCGACCTTCCTCTCGAATCCCAGCATCCCAAAGCTGTCGATCTGTCGCACCACGTCAACAAGGTGAGCAGTTCGATACGTGGCAGTCCTTTGAAACATATATTTCAATGTAAGTACTCGTTCCGTTTGGCATCCTGAGGTGGAACTGACTCAAAATCGTTTTCACCCGCGTATAATGTAAGACCTGAGGGAGCCCGGAATGGTCAGCCTAGCTGGAGGTAGGATCTTTACCAAAAAACTTGTCATCAATCCATCTCTGATCATGTACTAGGTCTTCCTCACCCTAACTTGTTCCCGTATCAACAACTCGATCTAAAAGTATACGCGCCCGACGCAAAGATCATTCCAGGAGAGACCGTCACCTCTTCCATGAACCTGTCTATACCTCAATACGCCTCTGAAACCCATCAACTCAACACTTTATCCAGAGCACTTCAATACTGTGAGTTCGTGATCCAGACTCGTTTGAACAATTCGTTATGGGCTCGTCCAAGATTATCCTTTCGCTTTACATGGTCACCTTCGACGTAGTACTTACAAGTGTCGCTAGATCCCGGCCGCAGCTCTCCAACACTCACGGCCCTCTTTTACGACTTTACCGCCAGAATCATGCGTCCTGGCTACGCAGACTGGCAAATCCTCCTCAATTCCGGCAGCACCGACGGCTGGTCCAAAGTCGTCAACCTCCTCTGTGAACCGGGGGATTATATCATCGTCGAAGAACATACTTTCCCCTCAGCTCACTCGTTGTGGGCTCCTATGGGTTGTAAAGGTGTTCCGGTCAAAATGGATAAAGATGGGATGATACCAGAGGATTTGGAGAGGATCATGGATGGATGGGAACAGAATCATCCTGAGGTTAAGAAACCGCATTTGTGAGTGTTATATATGCGCTTTGATCTGTTCTTTTCCGATTTCTTCAACAAACTGACTACTCTTACTCAATCAAGGCTTTACACTGTCCCAGTCGGTCAAAATCCCACCGGCTCAACTCTCACGTTCGAACGCAAAAAGGCGATATACGAAACCTGCGTCAAGCACGATATCATCATCTGCGAAGACGATCCTTACTACTTTTTACAACTACCGCGATATGTTTCACCTTCTGAACGCAATGGAATCAATGACACCCCTCAAGGCGCTGTGAGCGACGCAGACTTGCTCAAAATACTCGTTCCGCCATTTGTTCATATTGATTATCAAGGTCGCGTTATTCGCTTGGAAACTCTTAGCAAGGCGAGTGGTAACTTGAACTACTTCAAACTTACTTCGCTGACTGAATCAAATACTCATGTAGACTCTTGGTCCGGGGAATCGACTTGGGTACTTTGTCTGCAACGCAGCTTTCGCCGAACGACTCGTACATGCCACTGAAGTCATCTCTCAAGCCCCTTCCGGATGGTCTCAGGTTCGATAGAATTTCATTATCTTGCTTTCTCTATGACCTGTGCAAGATACTAGAACATTGTATGTTGACGAAGATTCATGCAACCCTGACAGGCTATTATCGAGGAGCTTCTGGTTACATGGCGTCCCGAAGGTTATATTCGTTGGCTCCTGGGAGTGAGAGAGAACTATGGTATTCGTAGAGATTGGATTGTGAGTTTTCTTCAACTCCATCAGATTTTTTCTCATTTCTGACTCCATCTTATAGTGTGATATCATCCGAGACGTCTTCGACGTTCTTCCAGCTGGAAACGAGTACAATGATGACTTTATAGCTGTTAAAAAAGGCCATGGGCAACTTCAAGACACGAAATCGGCACCGTTCTTCAGTTTTACTTATCCCAAGGTATGAATATACGCGTTTTAAATTGGATCGGGCTCTTGACACCTCGTAATGATGATGATTGGATTTATACTTAGGGTGGAATGTTTTTATACATCAAGCTCTACCTCTCTCAAAATCCAAAGTTCAGAGCTCTTCGTAACGCTGCAGAAAATCAAGACGAAGAAGCCAATGAGAAATGGACAAGGGAGTTTTGGAAGGACTTGATTCAAGAAAAGGTTCGTTTAGATTCCTTGAACGAGGGAATGGAACGAATCACGAGTTGTTAATCTAGATCTTGCTCACTCCTCACTTTTTCTACACTCCTCCTGGAAACGTAGAGAAAAAGGAAGAGTCGGATGTTGCATTCTTCCGCATGACGTTCTCGTATGAAACCGTGAGTCCACATCATGAATTTAGGTTCTTCAAGTTCATCTAACGGTTCTTTGCACCTTCTAAGCGAGAGGACATGCATATCGGAATTCAACGTCTAGCAAAAGCATTTGAAAAGAACTGGGAGATGGAAAATTGAAAAAAAATGTGCAAGGTGAAAGATATCGATGAAGATTTCTCAGTATGTAGTGGTTCATAATGATTTATAGTCAGAAACACACTTATAGTACTTTATTGTTGGAGTATAGATAAAATTTAGACATCACTGCATTTGTCGGCCGACTAGCTCAGTTGGTTAGAGCGTCGTGCTAATAGTTGGATGGCTGATTTATCCTTTACCAGATCAATCGGCTAGCTGACTGTTCAACGCGAAGGTCTTGGGTTCGATCCCCACGTTGGCCAACGTAAGTCTGTTTTTCTTCCCTGGGCACTAGATGCAAATGCGATGTAGCTTCCTGACTTTAACGATTGTCAAAGTTTTCCCTGTCAATCTGCGCGCGGGTCATATAAGCTAAAAATTAACCGCAGCCGACCTAACAGATCTAGATAAATAGGAAGCTCCTTCTACCGTAAGTTCCCAGCTAGCTACATAAATAAGGGTCATGGTAGCGGATATGGGGCCTTCCTTTCTTACCCTCAATCTCTCTACGCCATGCTCGAAGCAGAGTCCGCCTTCACGTCTTTCTTTGATCATATTCGCGATTCTCCGTTACTGGCTCTTGCTTTCCTTTCCTTTCTCATTTTCTATCCACTGAGGGTGCTCTATGTGAATCGTCGATCCCTTCCTCTTCCTCCAGGTCCACCAAAATTTCCTTTGATTGGCAACTTACTAGACATCCCCACGTCAAAGGAGTGGGATATATACCATTCATGGGCAGCACAATATAGTGAGTACTCCTGCATTGTCAGTTCTTTCTGGACGTGCGTCTTATGTTCATACGATGGAGACTCCGACATCATTCATGTGGGCGTCGCTGGCACATCCTTGATAATTCTCGACAAAGTCGAGGCTGCTAGGGAACTATTCGATAAACGATCTCTGAAATATTCCAGTCGGTGTGTCATATTTGTCAAAGCTGTGAATTTCGACTTCTAAAATTTTCAACGTAGGCCGCAGCTAACGATGCTAACCGAGTTGATGGGCTGGGACTACTCTTTTGTAATGATGAACTATGGTAAGTACGATGTCGTGACATATTTGTGGGTCTTCTCTATTTGCTGATCACAACGACCATCCCATCAAACCTGCAGGAGAAAAATGGTCTGTCTACTTCAATTTGTCGGTGTCTAGCATAAGAAGTTTAAATAAATGACACGGGCAGGCGGACTCATAGAAAATTGGCTCAGAAAGGATTTTTACCCTCCGCCGTCCTTCAATTCCAAGATGCAGAGCTGCGAGCGACTCATACTCTTCTCAAACGCCTGGCAATCTGTGGTGCCAATTCCAAGCCTGTGGACATGATCACAGAACTCAAACAGTGAGTCACTGTCATTGAATACGGACGGAGCTTTTTTTTAGCACTCAAACTTGATCCATGATGGTCTGTATTCCAGGATGACAGGCTCAATCATTCTTTCCGTCGCATATGGTATTGAGGTCCTTCCTCAAAATGACCCTTACATTGCTGCTGCCGACGCCGCGTTGGATACCTTCTGTATCGCGGCACGCCCAGGGAGCTTTCTTGTAGATGCTATACCGTGGTTAAAATATGTCCCTGAATGGATGCCTGGTAAGTGTCTATTTCAAACCTTTGCTCCATCTTTCCTAAGGCTATTAGCCTATTACCGATGTGTGTACCATGAATTGATCCTACATTCCTGCGATAGGAGCGGGTTTCAAACGTAAAGCAAAGGAATGGCGGAAGCTGGCTCGAAGAATGATTGAAATGCCGTTTGAAACTGCGAGGAAGAACTATGCGAGTCCACGGCCATTGAGTCACAAGTACGATCATTTCCTGATATGATTTTCTATAGGAAGCCAATGTCCCTTCGTCTTCATTCGTTGCAAATGCCTTGGAAGATCTGGAACACGAAATAAAACACAGCGAGCACGGCACAAAAACGCGAGAAACCGCAGAAGAAGATCTCAAGTCCGTAGCTGGTGCACTGTACACAGGTACGATTACGCAACATTCTACATAGGATACTGGCTCACTCATTTTATTTGTTGCAGGTGGTGTTGATTCTACCCTCGCTGTTATCACTCATTTTGTTTGTGCAATGCTTCGATACCCCGATGTTCAGACAAAGGCACAGAAAGAGCTTGACAGTATCCTTGGAATGGGAACTTTGCCAAAATTTGAAGACGAAAAGCGTTTACCTTATGTGACCGCCGTCGTGAAGGAGGCTTTCCGATGGAGGAACGTGGCACCAATGGGTATGGCGGCTCAATATACCGACGCTTTGCAATCTGACTTTCTTTAATAAGGATTCCCACATATGCTCGACGAAGAGGACGAGTACAATGGTTATAGAATTCCAAAACATTCCATTGTACTGCCGAATATGTGGTGAGTATCCGTCCTTGACATATACATACATTCCCACTTAATGTTTTATATCCAAGGGCCATGTTCCATAACGAAGTAAGCCCCCGAATTCTCGTTGTTTCATCCTTGATGATATTCAAAGAACTTTTCGTGATGATTACCTCCAGGAAGTATATCCTGACCCCGAGCCATTCAAACCTGAACGCTTTCTCCACCCTGATGGTACACTGAACGGAGCTGTTCAAGCTCCTGAAGAGATCGTATTCGGCTTTGGCAGAAGGTAAATTGATATGTCTAAAAAAACTAAAGGATATTAAATTACCTCTCATTTCCTCTCCGTTCCTGTAGGATTTGCCCTGCACGCTACATGGCGTACTCATCTATATGGATCACTATAGCATCTCTTCTCTCCACTTATGATATCAGTAAGGCTCGGGATGAACAAGGGAATATCATAGAACCGAGCTATGAATGTACATCAACTCTGGCATAGTGAGTCTGTTTCATTTCTATACCAACCCGTATCAAGCTAAAGTGATTTCCGAAGCATGCCGGTCCCTTTCAAGTGTTCCATCACTCCACGAAACGAGTCTACTGAAGAGGCAGTCAAACAGTTGCAATGATACGTGTTTCTGAGCAAGAGCTGGCTTTCCCGCATTCAACATCTGTCTAGAACATCAGGGTATACGCGATACAGAAATAATAAATATATTCGACGGACTGTAGTGCCAATGTCGTATCGTAATACTGACCTCAACCTTTCAATATCCCTTTGGCCTCATCTTGCCATTAATTTCCGGAATCAAACCGATGAATACTCCGGCGGCAAGTCAACCACTAACTCTTCTCTAGCTGTGCCTTCTTGATTCGAAAGCTCTGTACCACCGGGCATTTCAACATCCCGTCCACTCTGGTATTGACTTCGCGGTATTCTGAATCCACTATCTGCATGTCGGATATGTCGAATATTTGGATATGCTCTCTGCGTGGCATCACCCAACGGATTAGTGGAGACAGCGTTTGGAAGTGAATCAGAAGCGAAAGGATTGTCATTAACGGATTGGGAAATTGCCACATTCGGTATCCATGGGTGAGACGTATTATCGTGTGATTCATTTGCTGTGGATGTTGCTTTTTCAAGATCCAGAACCTTTTTTGCCTTTCCCGGATTCCCTATCTCTGAATTGTGCTCGTGTATAACAGTGTTTCGAGATGATATGTAGGATGGCATCTCCTCGTGAGCACTTTGTAGCTCTGAAGAAATGCGACCGATACCGTGGGCCACATCTTTTGAAGGGACAGGAGGAGGATCCGAGCTTGCCACCGACTCTCGCCATGGAAAAGAAAAAGAGGAATAAGACCCTACGCCAATAGGTATGGTATCTTCCTCTTCAGTCTGTCCGAATCTTCCTGTTCCATATTTGCCTTTATTACGACGTCTCCATATATAAAGAAAACCGGCGAGCAGAGAGAAGCCAAAAAGAGCTCCTAATATTGCTAACGCTCGTTGGGCGGTGGACAGGCCATGACTCGGGAAATTTGACGCTGAATCCGGTGGGGGAGTGGTACTAGGTGATAGAGTCGGATCAGGTGAGCTTTGCTCACTATCAGGTGATGTTTGCAGACTTAAATTGGTTGAAGAATTTGGAGAGGGTAAGCTTGCCTGTACAGGGGATGGGGATGAAGTGGAAGTGGAAGATGAAGTTGAAGTGGAAGATGAAGATGAAGTGGAAGATGAAGTTGAAGTGGAAGATGAAGTGGAAGTGGAAGATGAAGATGAAGTGGAAGATGAAGATGAAGTGGAAGATGAAGTTATAGCCGGTGAGTGTGGGTCTATATCGCCAGATGGCGCTACAGTAAATCGTGGGCTGGTAAAGAAGGTAGAAGAGGTGTCACTGGAGAGGGACATTCTATATTAACACACACACATCAATCGGGAGTTGTCATTAGAAGAACTTACTCGTTGATCACCGCTGCAACCACAAAAAATCTGGAATAAAGTTCAGATCGCTTCGTGATACGAAAATTTCAAGAACATACGCCCTATTGGTAAATGTTATTTCTTGTGTCTGTACGTCCAGCGAATCAGGGCTCTGCAAGAATATCGGGCCAGATCCTGGAGTAAGACGACCAGCACCATCAAGAATGACTTTCTGGAAGAAGAAATTGGAAGGATCTGAAGGGGAACGACGCCAGATCACCGGGACAGGGACGTTCGATGTCGGTGTTGGGGAAGCTATGGAAATCGAAAAGGCATGAACGCGTGGAATGAGCAGAAATAACGAGAAGATCAATGACAAAAGATCAAATGAAGATCTCTTCAGTGGAGGCATTTTATAGCGTCCTCTAGACTGCCCAAAAATTGCAGTCACTGGGACGCAAACATCAGAAAAAGGGGGCGGCGCAAAAAGGCAGCTGCAACCATTGTTATGTCGGTCTCATCTGCTGATGTCGATTATTATATGGATATTTTTGCTGCGCAACCTGAGTATGAGTCCTGCGGAACCAACAGATTTATTCTGTACTAAGCAATTCTTTAAACTTTGAGTCTCAGTGATGATCATTCACTTCATCATGAACAATGATCATTGATGATAGATTAGCGACGGCCATTTTTGCGGTTTCGGATGTTTCTGGGCGCTGCGCGCTTAAGATGTGGTTAATTTGGAGCACACCGGAAGCAGTTCGGCCTGTAGGAAGACCTCTCAAGGCCTCTCAAGGCAATACTCTTTACTGATTCATAATGATAATGGCATTGATTCTCCTCAATGTGAATGCCTTGTAAGAAATTATATTTTTTTTTGTTCTCAGAGTCCCATGTAAAGAGCAAACAGGGGGACCTGCTTTGACTGGTATTTTCTTACTAAGCTTCGGTTATGGAGCGTTTACAAAAAATGGCAAGTCGGAGACATC